CCACCACTCCTCATCTGTGTAGCTAATACCAGTTGATCCTAGTTTTGCAAAGATCAATCCAAGTGTTAACTTCACTTTACCTAATTCCTTGCAGACTGAGTTCAATGTCCTGTCTCTCTGTTGTATTCCTCGATTACAGTGCTTGCCACATTGAATTATAATTATTAATCTTTGAGCCTATATACTATGCTTAACATTATTAGGATGCATTTGTAGTGCCTAGCACAGTGCCTGGGATAGAGTAGGGGCTCACTATGTATTGAACGTATGAATAATCAGTAATGTAACCTAAATATTCCATACTTCGTCTATAGGTGAGTTAAAATTTTGGTCCACAAACAATAGCACTCATGAGTAGGAATTGTCGGGTAAGTTATCCTTAGTTGGCCAAATCAATGGCACCATCCTTCTGGTCTCTCCCCTATCCTTGCCTGTATCTCTCAAAGAGACCCAGGAGCAGTGGCAGGAGAGAAGAGTGAAGATTCACACACCAACGGAGCTGCCACCTGCAGGCCTGGAGCTGCCGGTCTCATTTTCCCCTTCCCTCAGTGTCTACCACTGCTCTGCTCACCCCGGTTGACAGTACACAAACCTACCATGCATCCGGTGCCACAGCCATAGGAAAACAGACGATAGAATAAAAGAAGATCCCCAATATCCTTCAGAAATCAGGTGACGGAGATACCCATTCTCCTACACAGCCCTCAAGTACAAGAGTCCCTCAAGTTCAGGTTCACCCTGACAGGAAGCTTACTGCTGGGATCCTCATCAAGAGAAAGACCTAGGCCCAGAGTTTGGCTTTGTGCCTGAGCCTTAGAGCACTTGCCACATTTTACATTCTCCTTTTCTCAGTGATCTTATTAGCTCTGAAGAAAATTCCACTGGGACCAGGACTAGCTCCCCAACTCCTCTAACAATTGAAGTCAATTCTAGATCATTGTGCAATATATACATGCATTGAAATGCCACACTGTACCCCACAAATGTGTATATTTAAAAAATTAAAAATTTTTAAATTTAAAAATAAATGAAAATAAAGTCTACTTTAGTCATATTCCCAGAGACCTAGAGAAACAAAGCACATCCACTAATATGGCTAATACACCCACTAACAGTGGATGTATTAGTAATGTATCCACTAATACATCCACTAATAGTGAAAGAGAAAATTAGCAGGAAAGCAGTATGGTGGGAGAAAGCAATACTAGCAAAAATTAAATCTCTCACTCTGAATGTAGAAGATTGGTATTTTTCAGTCTCCTATTCATTCATCCAGCTATTTATTGAGCACTTACAATGTGCCAGCCTATAATGAGTCCTGAGAACACAAAGATGAATTGGGTGTGGGGCATGGCCTTGAGGGATTTATAGAATAGTCAAGAGACAGAGAAGTAAATTTAAAAATTAAGAAATCATTTCTGTGTCCAAGGTCAGTATTAACAAAGTGCTGAAAGACCTCAGAGGGTGAAGTTCCTGAGCATCCCTGGGTATCAGAAAGATGTGCATGGAGGATGTGATATTTCAGCTGAGTCTTAAAAGATAGGATAATACAAGGGTTGGTATGGGGGTGGGGGAAGGACTTTGAAAGTAAAGAAAGAGTGTGCCTAAGGATCCTAGGATTGAAAAATTTACACTCACCAGGCAATACAATGTAGACATCCAAAAACACCACCAAGCCAAACAAGCATAGCCTCTAGACCCATCTCAAATATCTCAGCTGGCTGAGGCTCCATTTTGGACAGCTATCCCAGTGGAGTAAATAGGACACCAGAGCAGGACACCCCCTTGGGCCTGTGAAGTCACCTAGACTGAGGCCTCATTTTCAAAGGCCTGGTAGCTGTTGAACTAATAGAAGTACAATGAACCCTTCTCTAAATACTAGCCCTCCAAATATTTTGACTGTGGATAGCACAACCTGTCAATATAAAATTTATGGGCAATCTACATTAAAAAATTCATACTACTCGAAAGTAGTATCAGTATTCAGATTCATTCTGTCAAATATGAAAGAGATACCTTTTAGTCCCTCAGCAGTAGACCATAGGGATGGATGAACTCACACTGAACCGGAAGTGGTCTCCTTGCTAAAGTCAAAAACTGTAACTTTCGAGGTGAAACAGCTCTGCTGCTAGGAAAGTAAAAAGCTTCTGAGAAATTATGCAGCAGTCAGTTGCCACTGAAGAGAGGCCTGCCTGGACAACAACCCCTTCTTCCCCAGCCCACCATGCCAGAAGCACAACGCCCTAAATTTCTCAGTGAGCAACACCTTTTCGGTATTCCATGTTATCTTCTGCTGGGAGACAGCACCAACAACAGAAAGGGCCTGGGCCACTTGGTTCATACAAACATGTTTGATTCTTGATTCTGCCATTACTGGCTCTGGGCCTCAGCCAATCCATTTCATCTTGCCAAGCCTCCATTTCCTCATCTGCAAAACAAATATGCTTCACAAGACTGTTGTGAGAATTAAGTACAATAATGTAGAGAAAATGCTAGCAGTCTGCCTCATAGCAGGCACTTGATGAAAGACAGTCATTATTGTTCCTTTCGTTTACAGAAACATTTGTCATTGTCTGATTTCCAATTCTGCTATTTAACATTCTTGGGTAAACAAAAAGGAATGCATGTGTTTTAGTACCTAGTTTCAGATACTGCGCTAGCTCTTATGAACTTAGCTCTTCTTTAATCTGAGACTACAACCCTGAAACAGGTACTATCCCCAATAAAAGAAAATTAAGTTCAGAGAAATTAGGTGATTTACTAAGGTCACTTAGCTGGCAGGAGGTTGGAATGGAATTTCAACTAGTTCCTTGCTGTAAAACCATCCAAGGTAACCAGGCTGCCTGGCGGAAGAAGGGGATATGGGTGCGGGAAAGGAGTGAAGTGACCATTCATTATGATTCTATTTCCAATTCCCAAAGCTGTTTCCCCAACTTTCCCAGAGGTTATAGATGGAACACCCTGTGGAAATAGCTAGTACCCAGTCCTCCTTTTATTTTGTAGAATGATCCAAGTCCTAAAATTAGCAATGATCTAGAAATGTTACAGAGCAGCTTTGGGGCTCTTCTGAAGAACCAGTTGCCTGTTCAACCCTATAATGCAGTAACTTTGCTTGGCGGCAATTTATAGCTGGAGATGTTCTCTCGATTTGAACCAGCCCAATTTGGACTACAGATCAGTCTCTTCATTCCTAGAAATCTATGGAAATAGGCCCTGACCCTCCCGAGTGCTGAGGAAGCAGGAGCACACCCAGATTAAGCATGTTTTAGGGTTAATCAGACCTGATTCAGTCATCTACTTGATCTTCTACATCTACATGATCTTCACAAATTTACCATCTGTAAAATGGGGGATAAAAGCACCTGGGAGGAGTAAATGATAACAAGGTATAAATGGCTCAACATGATGCTGGACAGAATTAGCAAAAAAAAAAAAAAGAATTAGCAGCAGCTTCACAAGAAAGGTTGAAAGTCTTAGAGCTCGGTCATAGATAGGGACCTACCATCAAGGGCATGATATACAGACATGATTATTCCCCAGATTGAAGGTACCCAATTGGAGGGAAGGAAAAAAAGAACAGAAAACCCTGCAGTTGAGTGGTCAGACTGCCTTCCCTCCTCTTCCTCCTCCATCTCTTCTTCACAGCAATCCTCCTCAGATTTGTGTGGTAAGTTAAATAAGTAAGGTTCAGTATCATTACCCTATTTATGTATCTTGTATACTGTCTGATATTCTGGGACTAGGGCCCAAGGAAAATTTATTCTTCTCTGACTGCTTCTGATAGCAATTCTTTCTCTCTCACTCTCCCATTCCTTTCTTAAGAGTATCTATCACAGGTAAATCAGTCAAATAACTGGAAAACTTATTTCAGGGAAAGGATTAGGGAGAAGGAATTTTGAAATTAGCATGTCTGCATTAATGTTGTCTGTTTCTAGGCTCTAAATGTCTTTATGGGTAGGAAGAAACCAAGTCTTCTAGTTTTAGCTGCAAGCACTCACAGCCTTATGTATATCCAGATACTTAAAATTATTCATCAGAAATTGACTTCCTTCTTTGCCCATCTGGTGTCTTCACAAAAGTCAAAAGCACATAAATTATTAGACCTAGGAAAGCAACTGTGACTACAGATCTTTCTATCCACCTAGGAGCAACAATCACAAGATATACTACATTTAGAGGAAACAAGGTAAGGAAATTAAGAAAGTCTATCATTCAGTTCAGCTTGATGTGCTGAGACACCTTTCCAGGATACCATGAATCCTGATTTTAAGGATAGTAAAGCATTCATAAACAGATTACTCCTTGAGTTTAAAGCAGTAATTATGGAATTTTCAAGCCCACCCACTAAACCCATGAGAAAGCTTCTTTCAGTGTAGCTGCCCACACACAAACACTCACAATACCAGAAATCTGTGTTTTAACCGAGGCACTCCTCCCTGGACTCAAGTTCATGGATTAATAAGTTATTTCCATTCTTTTCACTAACCATCTACATTCACACTCTATTTTGTGTAGAAATATAGATACCATTAAGGAAACACACAGGTCAAGTCGCTCAGGTTTAATGATTCCACGTCTATGTTATTACCATTTAAACACATCACTTTTGTTAAACTTAAGTCTGCTCACTGTAGACAACCCAGGTCACCTGGCCCCCCACTCAGAACATTTAATCAAAGTCTCCTGCACCCAAAATTCACAAAACAGACCTCTATGATGAAATTACAGAAAGATAAATATTAGTGACCAAGCACGGGTCTTTAGGATTGAAAGATCTCTTTAACCAGCAAGAGCAGATGTGGGAAAGGAAAGAACAAGGAAACTGATACTGTTTGGACCCAAGTTTTCTGAGAACCTCCTTTTCAGATTGCCTGAATAACAAGTCACCTGTCCTTAAAGAGCACAATGAATCTACTTATGCCAAGACCACAGGGCAGAAAGTACTCCAGCCCAGCTTCAGCTGAACTTCCACCACTTTCCTGTACGGGTCACAGCAATTTTTTTGGATCTTCTGCAGCAAATCTTCCCCCTTTTCCCTGTCCCTACAAAGGAAGAAGCAGCTGGGAGAAAAATCTCTCAGCTAATTCCTCATATCCAGGCATCAGAGCTTACCATTCAGACCTCTCTCTGTAAGAAGCTAAGATATTTTTGTTTTGCTTTGTTGGCTGGCAGGTACAGGGATCCAAACCCTTGACCTTGTTATTATAACACCATGCTCTAACCAACTGAACAAACCAGCCAGCCCAAAAAACTAGGATTTTATTACTTAATAAAAGGTTCAACATTGAGAAGACAGCAAAACCATTCACTCATTCTCAGGCCAACTTTAGGCAGACAGGTGAAGACAAGGACAACTGAGATAGGTCTATTTTAAGCCATTGCAGGCCAAACGCAGGTCACTCAGGAAATCCCTAACTTCAAAGTGGCGCTCAGGGCTCTCTCTAGGATGGTCACAAGTGGTGTGTTTTGTCTAGATTGCTTAGGTCATTACCAGGTCCAAGCTTCCCAGTTCCAGAACTCATTATTCCTTGGTTCTTTGGACTAGTGGACAATCTGTCACTATTTCAAATTTCCTGATCCCTTTCCATGCTGGGTTTAGGTCCCCAGAGAATTGGGGCAGCAGCAGACCAACTTGGATTGTGATGAGACAGAATAAATAGCTGGTCATTGTGCATGTTTCAAAATTAACTGAACTCCCTTTGGAGTCACATTTACTCCTAGCACTGAACTGGAAGCATAATATTATAACAAAAAAAATATCTTATTTTAAAAGACTTTCACTACTTACCCAACTTTTGCACCTCTCAGTCCTAACCTCTCACCCTCCCTCATTATACACACCACCAGAAGATGATGTCTCAACACTTTCAGAATCTCTAGGGCCCAAGGATAAAGCAGCATTAATGGCATTTGGCTGAAAATCCCATCCCACACTGGAGACTCCTCCTAGTTCAACACAGTAAGGAAATAAGCAATAAAGTAAGAGAAGAGGCAGTAGAAACCAGAGCCTGCCCTCCCCACATAAAAGAGGCACAGAAATTTCAGGAGTTGGTTGGAAATGGCATCATCTCTTGCCAGAAGACCACCAGCTACCACTGGTTTGGAGCCGCATTATCACTTGTTTCTCCTCTGGACTGAAGTGCAAGATAGTCAGTATGGCTGTGAGAGTCTGCTGGCGGCCCAGGTTGTCAGGTAAGGTCAGGAAGCGGTAGATGATGTTCTTGAGGTACTCCAGGTTGGCTCCCTCCCTGCTCTGGTCTCTGATGTTCTTTTCAA